CCATTAGTAGTATTTACCATCCTTAAGTCATCTTTTGTATCATATTCAACTGTTTGTAGGCAGGTGAGATAAATATTTGATCATTTATTGGTCCACACTATATTCTATCATGATGCGGCTTGGTTTGGATTTTTCGAAGAAATTTTGCTCGAATCGCTGTAGATGTCGTCTTACATTATACTAGATTTTTCTCAAACTATTGAACTGATTATTACAAAACTTGACAGGAATGCTTGAAATAACCAGTATTACAAAGGAAAAAAGTCACATTCAGTTTATTTAACAAAAAAGTCTTCTTAAGGTGTAATACCACCAAATCATAGTACGTAACATCCGGTTGCATACGAAAATAAATCCAAAAAAAATATTCCCTTGAATTTGACAGTTGTAGGTAATTGATCCTACATTTCATTGCAGTAAAACATTTCTGGGTCATAAACATATATCTTGGGTATTTCAAAGCACCATTATTTTTTTTATTTGGGGTTTCTATAGAATATTTTGGAAACTTGAGGTTACATGGTTACTAAAGCTTGTACACAGGTTAAAAAAGGGGGAAAATTTGATTGGTTAACTTCCAGTGATGGTTATTTTCTTATATGCAATGAAATGTTATGTGAAATTTTTTCTATAGTACTGGGCAGGATAAAACTTTACTCATGCCAAGTATTTCTTTATTTGAAATAAAGATAAATTCTGCACAATTTTTTGAAAAGTGCAAATTTAACAAAGACTAATAGAGGAAAATCAATGGTGGTATTACACCTAATATGGGAAGCTGTACATGCACCTTTGACCTTGTGGGTACTCTCATGTGTTAAAATTTCTTGCTATTTAAGTGAAATATTACAAATAATGAAATATTCTGAGTGGATTGAGTCTCCAAAACACATTTTATGAGAAAATTTCCTTGAAATAGGACTTTACCATGAATATAAGTTTACAGAACAAGCCATACTTAGAGTTTTGGGGAGCTTTTTCTCCTTATTTTTTATATTCTGATATACTAGAAAATTTTTCCTAAGAAATACTTTAATAAATATATAGTTTTAAGTAAATGAAATTACTTTTAAAGCAGTAACAACAAATTATTCACCAAAAGAGAAGCTTTGTATGTCCCTCTCTGGAACACGGCGTAAATTTAAGTTTTACCTAAGGACTTATTGAAACCTCCTTGGAGACAGTAAACGTTTATACGGATAGTTCATTCAGCTTGAATACTTCAATTAATCATGTATTATAACATTTCTATCATAAATGAGTGAAAGTTACCCCAAAATTTTTATTTATTGGCATAAAAAGTAGAAATTTTGAGGAAATGAGAGGTTTAAATGGACCAAAAGAGACCTTATAAGGAAGACAAAGAGGTCCATTAGTAGTATTTACCATCGTAAAGTCATCTTTTGTATCATATTCAACTGTTTGTAGGCAGATGAGATAAATGTTTGATCATTTATTGGTCCACACTATATTCTATCATGATGCGGCTTGGTTTGGATTTTTCGAAGAAATTTTGCTCGAATCGCTGTAGATGTCGTCTTACATTATACTAGATTTTTCTCAAACTATTGAACTGATTATTACAAAACTTGACAGGAATGCTTGAAATAACCAGTATTACAAAGGAAAAAAGTCACATTCAGTTTATTTAACAAAAAAGTCTTCTTTAAATGCGCTAGACTTATTCAGGACGGTCCGTTTAACACGTAAAAATATTTACAAATTTACAGATTCAACAGAAACGTTTCAGTTTTTCGGAAAAAAAAACGATTACTCAACGCATTACAGCTACTATCCATTTTTCCTTCACCACAAACATGCTTGTCTTCCATACACATTTTCCAGCCTACAATATGAAAGTAAAATTTCAGGATAAAACCGGACTGTTTCTCCTTCAGATTTAATGTAATATAAGAAGATAGGGGATCTTTGCTTTTTTTTTTTTTTTTTTTGCCGAAAAGCTACAAATAATCTGTCCATGTTATCGATAAAAGTAGCTAATATAATGCAAATATGGAATTTGTTAACGTAACTTTTCAATTAAAAAATTTTAAGTGAAATATGCATGTCACGGCATTATCTTTTAAAAAAACACACATTATTTTTATCCCTTGAAAATTTTATTCAATTATATCATTGGAGATACTTCGTGTAAAGTATTTTCATGCAGGACTGTACAGTAAATCTACATATTCTGTTCTGTAGCAAGAACACAGAATTGATTGACTCCTATTTGTCTTTTGTATTTTCCAAGACCCCATTATATAGGAGCTATTTTCTCACATTAGATTTTCTAAATTCTTTCGTTTAGTATTCTTTCTACTCACATACAAGTGATATTTCCATGTATAATCCTTAAAATGATTTTGAACAACCTGAAGCTTACTGAATTTACGGATCTATAGCGTAGACTTTTTCGATGATAATGATTACCTGGGGTTCAATCTTGTGGTACGTTTAGAGAACGTACGTCCAGAACTTGGTGATAGCTGTCCATTTTTATTAATTTGAATTGGGATTTGTAACAGATGTTCCAAAGCATAAGTCATGTTCTTGCATAAAATAGAAAGAAGGGGTGAAATTATATGTAAAACTTTTTGTTATAGAGGTTGTATTAAGGCGGCTACGCCCACACAGTTTTGAAAATTTGCATCACATTCACCGATCTGCAGGAAGGACTAGATATACCGTCTATTAAGAAATTGCAACTGGAGTGTCGCAGTGTCCAGTTCTCTAATTCAGGATATTTGTTTAAACAAATCAAATTATATTGTATTGCTGATTGTTCATCAGTAATTACCGATATTCATCAATTTTTTAGTGAGCCTTATTCAGTTAGAATATAAGGTTGACCTTTTATGATTTTATGCCTACCTGAAAACACAACAAAATGACAGATATTTCAAAGTATGAATGTGTGGCTAATTAAATGGCTAATTTTAGGGAGAACACATGCATGCTGGCCTCAGTAGAGGATTGATGTGATGCAACATATTATTCACTTGCGAATAAATTAAGAGATAAGAATTGTTATAATATTCATTTCGTAATTCTTTACGTGTAAATCAACATAATTGTACTTTTATTATCTGTTATTGTCAGATTAACAAAATCAATGACATGTGCGAAGTAAATGTAAAAACAACAAGGAAGTTACTATTGCAATTGATTGAAAACATAAAAGGAAGAATAACTCACAACCAATCAAATAACAGTAATGATATTGATGAATACTTCCTTATTGCATTGTATTGGTTAAACTTGTATGTGCAATCTTTGAATACAGTACAACCTCGTTCAAAATATCCTGAATAATGTGCTTTTTTTCATATGCAGAAATAGTTTATTTATCAATCATGATTCTATTGTATAATTATTTTATTAGACGTATTTACTTTGTATTGTTATCAGTGTCCAAATATTATTTCATCAGTCGCTATGATGTAATGAATTAATTTTAGTCCCTCTTTGGGACGTAGTTATAGCCATAATGTATTAACAATTATTGTTTTAAAGAGTCATGGGATTTTCACCATGTTTGGCCTGATGTAGCAATATAATCTTTATACATCTATATAATAATGAGTTGTTGAACATACTAGAGTCCAATAAAGATACGACAATTTTCGGATGAGCCAAACTAATTCTAATAGAATGTTATTTTAATTCACACATGTGCATGTCATTAACATATTACACGAAATGCCATAAACATATTTTCAGTGAAATCTTTTGCCCTCTGATATGACGTGTTCTACAATAAATATTGTATCATTATTAAATTTTCAAAACAATTCAATAGTTCTCAAAAGTATCTCATTTCAACAGAATTTCCAGGAGCTAGTGGAGTACTCACAATAGCTTATCGATGATTATATTACAAGTTAAAATAAGACAAATGTCAAGTGTGCACGAAAATATTATCATATGTTTTAAGGCTAGTTTTGTGTTTCAAAGGGGCATTAGCTACGAGATATACAAAAAAATTGAAATATGATTTTTTTTGTTCAATCATTAATGAAAGTGAAATAGTGAAATACTAATTCGCATTTAGCAACCAGTTTGGTTCAATTTCGTCAAAATAAGCTAAGAAACATCGCTAATGAATTATTCACTTGCAAGTGAATAATTCGACATCATTGAATCTGTATTCATGTGACCTTCAAATTAACCCCTGAGCTAGAGATGGAATACGCATGAATTAGGCGTGATCATTTATTGAAAGGAAAAGAATGTCAACATTGAAAGTGAAACAAGGGTTAATCATTTGGTTGACTGATTCGATCCACAAATACTCATTCTTATACAGGTAAAAACGATAACTAACATATATTTTCAATCTATAATATGAAATCAAACAGACCTAAAAAAAAAATCTAATGGCACGTTTTTGCATTCCATTTATATCTATATTTCTGTTTATATCGGGTTAAATGACCGTCGGCAGTCTTAGGAAGTCACCTCGGTGGTTAATAAGATGGCGTCTAAACTAAAATACACACGAAATGTTGATACATATATTCGAGCCCATGCATCGAAAATTGTTTATTTTAGACTTTTTATAATTTGGATATACATATACGTTTTAGTATGTTATACATCAAATATGAGAATTTGAGTCAAATAGGTGAACATGAATTTGACAGCTAATGCCCCATTAATTGTTGTTGTTTTTGTCTGTTGCTGTTTTTGTTTGTTTTAGTTTGCTATTTGATTTACTTTAAACGTTCGATTGTGGTTTTATGTCTTGCATTCAATAATGCAACATTGGTTTTCATACGTTGTGAGTCATCTGTGTTATACTTATATCAATCATCATATGCATAATGCTTGATTAATTTGTCTTCAATAGAAATTCTTTTAACATAAATTTAGAAGTGAATATTCTATCCCCCCCCCCCCCCCCCCCCCCCCCTTCACATTAGATTGACAATATTGTGTGATTGACATGAGACGTTTTCACAGAAACTTCACTGTATTGAGAAAATATTTAATTGATTTTATGATTATTAAACACCTATATCGTCACACTTGTTCACTTCGTCACATCTGGTTTAAATCAAACAAGACAAACAAGCAAATCAGTTACTTAATAAATTAACAAGAAGGAATATATTGAATTGAGAATTGAAATTTGTTTGGGCAATCATGGTGTATAGACCAGGCAACACTAACGTGATAATTATAATTTATTGGACGTTCTACCTTTTTGTAATTTCTGCAGGTAAGATTTATTTATCAATAATATTGTTTCATTAATTATTAATTATAGCCCATTTGTTGTGTAATATTTAAACAACATCTTACTAATTGTATGCTTCCGAAGCGCTTTTCTGAATTTACCTTTATCAAGGATAGCTAAAACCCCAAATATTGAATACCAAGGATGTATATGTACATAAACAACTGAAGAGTTAAATGACCAAAACGGATCAAAACATGATGCTGTTATAGACATCATAAGGAATGAGAATTTGTAGCAACTCGAGTTATTTGATTTCAATGTTATAATAAATGAGCCTTCGTCGAGTTTATTATAACTATTTAAATTAAATAACAAGAGTCGATATCAACATGATCAAGCGATATCCAACTCTCATGTGTTGTTTTACCTATTTATCTTATCGTCAACACTATTATTGTGTTAAATACAAATTCCGCGAATCGATGATCTAGCCTTTTGCATATACCAGTAAGACGACATATGTCCTGTTCTGGTCAAACTTTATCATCAGACATTGTAAAACTTTCTGTACGCTGCAGAATGTAATAAAATTTGACAAAAAGAAGATTTTCATGTAAAAACAAATGTGAAGGTTTTTGTATATTATTTAAGAAATCACATATGTCCATTGACATGGGTCAAACGTACATCGTTTCAACCTTTGAAAGTAATCAATGACCTAACGAATAGCCTATGGAAATGTCGTCATATCGTCTCATGATGATTGATAGGCCAATCAAATTAACGCATTTTTCATATCACATTTTCGTTTCACACTCCTTGCAGCATGATACGAGAAATATGTCGTCATGCAAGAAATAGATAACAGGCCACAACCATAAGACACATTATGTTTTATCATTGATTCTACTCAAAAAATTAAAGCAAAGTATACGAACATAATAATGCGAGCGTTTTTCTATCAAATTAAATGTCATATATGCAAACAGTGTGGTGATAATTTTAAAACGTTTCTTATATGTTTTCTTTTAAATAAAGGTTCATCTTTAATACTCAATTTATTTTTTTTTTTTTCATGTAAATTACAGTAATCAGCTGTCAGCTTTTTGTTCTTTTTTTGTCTTTTTTTTCCCTTTTTTCTACCTTATATTTATTCAATTAAGCATTCTTAAATTCATTCTAATCGTAAAATAATTTGTTGCCCATTGGCGTTGCTTGTATTATTACGATAATATATTCCAGCGTCTCTGAATTTAATTAGCATTCGTTTCAGTTAAACTGGACACAGCTTAAACATTGGAATACATGCTAGCCTCTTTTACATAAAAGGCAATTCTAAAATGTAACCAATTCACGAATGGGCATCTATCTGACTATTTTTATTGAGATTAAATCTGCTTTGATAACGATGTCATCTCGAATAAGAGTATAGTGTAAGTGACGTTATCAAACTGTAAGTAACCATATGTCCAACAAGTCGATAATTATATAATATCTTATAACAAAAGTATTTGAAAATCAAAATGCAATACAAAACTTTTATTGGTTAAATCCAATTCAATTAGATAACGTTATGAAATATTACATTTTGAAATTACAATATTTATATTATTATTCTACCTTTTTGTAATTTCTGCGGGTAAGATTAATTTATCAATAATATTTTTTCATTAATTATTAATTATAGCCCATTTGTTGTGTAATATTAATAATTTAAACAACACTTTACTAATTGTATGCTTCCGAAGCGCTTTTCTGAATTTACCTTTATCAAGTATAGCTAAAACCCCAAATATTGAATACCAAGGATGTATGTGTACCTAAACACGTGAAGAGTTATATGAACAAAACGGATCAAAACATGATGTAGCTATAGACTTCATAACGAATGATAATTGAATATCGCTTGATAGCAACTCGAGTTATTTGATTTCAATGTTATAATAAATGAGCCTTCGTCGAGTTTATTATAACTATTTAAATAAAATAACAAGAGTCGATATCAACATGATCAAGCGATATCCAACTCTCATGTGTTGTTTTACCTATTTATCTTATCGTCAACACTCTTATTGTGTTAAATACGAATTCCGCGAATCGATGATCTAGCCTTTTGCATATACCAGTAAGACGTCATATGTCCTGTTCTGGTCAAACTTTATCATCAGACATTTTAAAACTTTCTGTATGCTGCAGAATGTAATAAAATTTGACAAAAAGAAGATTTTCATGTAAAAACAAATGTGAAGGTTTTTGTATATTATTTTAAGAAATCACATATGTCCATTGACATGGGTCAAAGGTACATCGTTTCAACCTTTGAAAATAATCAATGACCTAACGAATAGCCTATGGAAATGTCGTCATATCGTCTCATGATAATCGATAGGCCAATCAAATTAACGCATTTTTCGTATCACATTTTCGTTTCACACTCCTTGCAGCATGATACGAGAAATATATCGTCATGCAAGAAATAGATAACAGGCCACAACCATAAGACACATTATGTTTTATCATTGATTCTACTCAATAAATTAAAGCAAAGTATACGAACATAATAATGCGAGCGTTTTTCTATCAAATTAAATATCATATATGCATACAGTTAGAACAAAAAAAAACAAGGCATGCAAACAGTGTGGTGATAATTTTAAAACGTTTCGTATATGTTTTCTTTTAAATAAAGGTTCATCTTAAATACTCAATTTTTTTCTTATTTTTTTTTCATGTAAATTTCAGTAATCAGCTGTCAGCTTTTTGTTCTTTTTTCTCTTTTTTTTTTCCTTTTTTCTACCTTATATTTATTCAATTAAGCATTCTTTGATTCATTCTAATCGTTAAATAATTTGTTGTCCTTTTGCGATGCTTGTATTATTGCGATAATATATTCCAGCGTCTCTGAATTTAATTAGCATTCGTTTCAGTTAAACTGGACACACAGCTGAAACATTGGAATACATGCTAGATATAAGAAGATGTGGTATGAATGCCAATGAGACAACTCTCCATCCAAGTCAAAACTTATAAAAGTAAACAATAATAGGTCAAAGTATGGTCTTCGACACGGAGCCTTGGCTCACACCGAACAGCAAGCTATAAAGGGCCCCAAAAATGACTAGTGTAAAACCATTTAAACGGGAAAACCAACGGTCTAATCTATATAAAAAACGAGAAAAGAGAAACACTTATGAACCACATCAACAAACGACAACTACTGAACATCAGATTCCTGACTTAGGACAGGTTCAAACAATTGCTGCGGGTTTAAACGTTTTAATGGTACCAAACCTTCACCCTTATCTGAAACAATAGTGTAACATCACAACATAGAAAGACACACTATAAAATATCAATTGAAATGGCTTAACTCAATCAAAAGACATATTAACACCATTGTTGTTAGGTATACGTGTAGCCTCTTTTACATAAAAGGCAATTCTAAAATGAAACTAATTCACGAATGGGCATCTATCCGACTATTTTTATTGAGATTAAATTTGCTTTTGATTAACGATGTAATCTCGAATAAGAGTAAAGTGTAAGTGCTGGTATAAAACTGTAAGTAACCATATGTCCAACAAGTCGATAATTATAACATTTGCAACACGACGGGTGCCACATGTGGAGCAGGATCTGCTTACCCTTCCGGAGCACCTGGGATCACCCCCAGTTTTTGGTAGGGTTCGTGTTGCTTAGTCTTTAGTTTTCTATGTTGTGTCATCTGTACTATTATGTGTCTGTTTGTCTTTTTATTTTTGGCCATGGTGTTGTCAGTTTGTTTTCGATCTATGAGTTTGACTGTCCCTCTGGTATCTTTTGTCCCTCTTTTATACAATATCTTATAACAAAAGTATTTGGAAAATCAAAATGCAATACAAAACTTTACATGTTAAATCCAATTCAATTAGATAACGTTATGAAATACTACATTTTGAAATTACCAGAATTTTTTAATATGATATGGCTAGACTTTTGTCCTTTTTGGTCTATAAGCTCTTCATTTGGTTAACATTGTTAATAAGTTTTTGATTTTCAAATATTTTGGCCTTGAGCAACACTGAAAAGATATTTATTGTCGAAATGCGCTTGTGTTGACAAAAAATTGGTACCGTTAATAGCGTCGATATATTGATAAGCTTGGACATTAATCAATAATTAGAATAATGATTTTTAGGAGGAACCATATGCAATGATGGGGCATATCTAATGATGTAGCCTCGATTTTTTAAAAATGTCCTGTACCAAGTCAGGAAAATTGCAATTGTTATCGTATAGTTTGTTTCTGTGTGTGTTGCATTGTCGTTTGTTGTTTGTTCACTTCAGTGTTTCTGTTGTTTCGTTGTCCAAATGTACAAATTGTATTGTTTATTTGCGTAATTCTCTGTCCGTAATGTTGTACTGTATTCATGTCATGTAATGGTGTCATTTTAGTGTTATATTTAACATTGCCATAAAAGTGCGAGGTTTGGCTAGCCACAAAACCATGTTCAACCCACCATTTTTTTCTTAAAATGTCCTGTATCAAGTCAGGAAAATGACCATTGTTATATTATAGTTCGTTTCTGTGTGTGTTACATTTTAATGTTGTGTTTCTGTTGTGTCGTAGTTCTCCTCTTATATTTGATGTGTTTCCCTCAGTTTTAGTTTGTAACCCGGATTTGTTTTTTTCTCAATCGATTTATGAATTTCGAACAGCGGTATACTACTCCTGCCTTTAAATATAGAAATTGCAATGAGTTCTTTTTTAATGACATATGATTTCAATAGACGTTTATATAGTAGCATGCTAAACTTCATTGAGATGTTTTCTCTTTTTAAATGACATATGATTTCAATAGACCTTTATTTAGTAGCATGCTAAACTTCATTGAGGTATTTTCTCTTTTTGAATGGAAAATGCCGATCGTTAAATAAGCGTTCCAAAGTAGGAAAAGCCAGCGAATGATATGTGTTTGTATGCTGGTGTAACCACACTTTCTTTCATATTCTTGTGGAATGTTATGTTGGCTTAAAAGGATCCAACCGTAACTATTCAT